TTGAGTAATGACATCTTTAAACTTGTCAGGATAATGGCTCTGTGAATGAAGGAGCCCATGGCACTGTTGCAGGCTCCCAAAGAGGCTCTCTGTACTGTACCTCCCCCATTTTCAGTCTTCATCTTCTCTTTGTTTCACTGTGTTCCTATCTCTTCTGCCGTGGTTCCTTTTTTTACTTGTTTCTTTTTCATACCACGTCTACAGTTTCTCCTTCATCATTCTACCTTTTTTTTTGTTCTTTTTGGTGTGCTGTAAAGCCCAGAAAAATAATACATTAGCATTTGGATATTTTTAAATCAAGTGGAGAATCTTTCCAGAAAGTTTTTTTTTTTGGGACCTACTATAAGGATTTAAACCAATTTAGAACAAACTGACATTTTTAGAACCCTATCACAAGTAAAAAGACTTTTATATTCTGTAAAACATCGATGTTCTGCTTAACCTTATAGTTTGATTTGCTTGCATATGCTAAGCTAAGGTTGGCATGAGATCGTTGCTGAGGGCAAAAGCAAAGTGAGCACAGAGTTTATCAAATAGATCTATAATTTACTTGCATATGCTTAGCTAAGGCTGGCAGAAGACCTTCACTAGTGTGAAAAATAAGGTTAGCAGAGAGGAAATCTTGAAGCTTCCATAATAAGAGCTTTATTATAATCTATTTTGAAGCCATAAAGACCAAATATGTGGACATACTCCAAACATTGGGGTCCTGCTTCAAGACTTATAACAAATATTTTAGGCTCTACCATATTGTTGCAAACCCAATGCACTGTCTAGCATTAGCATACATTTAATCCACCTTTTCAGGACGACAGCTGTTCTTTCTTAGATAGAAAACTTTGCATCAATCTCACTGAATGATGTGAATTAATTGTTGCAGTAAAATGCATTGAGATTACATATTGCACTGCAAAAAATCAAAAGCTGGATAAGTCATTTTTTTCTTAAAATAAGTGCATTTGTTCTTGAATTGAGGAGATAAAAGAGACATTTTGCCAATGGAACAAGACAATTTAGATTTAAAAGAAGAAAACTCAATTGCATTGTCTTATTTCAAGTGAATATTATTTAATTATCTTATTTTAAGAGTAAAAATCCTGATTCCATTCCATCTCATTTACCTACTCAAATCAATGGTAAATACACTTAATTTAAGAAAGTTTTACTTATTGCTAGATCGTTTTTCCAGATGAATTTAAATAAATACACTTAACTCAATTGAGTTTAGAGGAGATAGCCTGCTGGAAGGGGAATGTCAAAGCTGAAACTTTCTCATAAAAAACATTTTTCTAAAATAAATCTACAGATTATCTAGAGTGGTGCGAAATAATTTTATATTCATTATTTTTATCATACATATAATACTTTTGTTTACTAAAAACATAGGCTACACTGGGAAAGTCATTTTTTCTTAAAATAAGTGCATTTTTCTTGGATTAAGGAGGCAAAAGAGACATTTTGCCAATGGAACAGGATCATTTACACTTAAAATAAGAAAACACAACTGCATAGTCTAATTTCAAATGCATATTATCTAATTATCTTATTTTAAGACTAAAAATACTAATTCCATTGGCAAACTATCTCATTTACCTTCTCAAATTAAGGGTAAATACACTTAGTTTAAGACATTTTAATTCATTTGTAAATCGTTTTTCCAGTGTATATTTGTATATAATTGTTTTTAGAAATCTAAGTGGTCCAAAATATGCAAATCTTCTGGTTAAGATGCCAGCATTGCTATGACAGGTCTTAGTAGGTCTTCAAAATAAGAGAAAAAAAAAAAGAAGAGAAACCAGAGTGAACATCAGTCAAACATGAGTTTTGGTGCAGACTTAAGGAAGCAAAAGGAACTCAGATGGCACCCTCACTTTGCTGCTTTTTTCTTAACTGGTAAGCTTAACTTTTGGTTTGCATTATCGGACCTGGCAACATTAGCTAAACAGTAGAGTAGAAGAGTGGTTGAGTGTGCAATATTTTGGTTTTGAGCGTTGGTTTTTAAAGAAAAGGGAGGTGAAATGTTTGCTAAAGCTCAGCGTTTGTATGTTTCATAGGGAATGGGTGGGAGTGTAAGTGTGCCTTTTACTGGCGGGGAGGTGTTAAACTTGTAGCTATCTACTTTATGTCATCAAGACACAAACAGCCATTTATTCAGCACAGCATGATGCTGCCACTGCCATGCTTAATTTGACATTTTTTTTTTTTATCCAATTCCAATCAAAACTGCTCATCTAATTAAAGCCCCTTCCTAAAAATATTTTTTGGGTGAATGATAGCTGTCTGGGTGACAGATTCTCCCACCTAACTAGTTTTTTGTCAAAAATATAATTTCTTTGAAGACATAGCTTAATTTCTGAGCAGCAGCTCAGCTCGTTCAAAACCTTGGTTTGGCTTGAAACCAGATACAAGAGAAATATGATTATATGTTTATAAACAAACATTATATGATTTAATGTTCACAAAAAAATAACTAAAGCAAGAAAAATAAAATCCATATTTAAGTCACTTTTTTTGGTTTGCAACTGGACAGCAACAGAATTAGTCTCCCATCGCCATCCCAGTAGGCAGCAGGGGTGATCCCAGCAGCTGTAGACGTACCACACTGGGAGGAATCAATGACGCCACGTCTGTGGCCTGTTGCTGCAGTCAAGCCAATGACGCCACACCAGTGGGGGTGTGATCACACGTGCATCATGTTTCTATTAACACCAGCAGGCAAAGGTTGACAAGTTGATTCTTTGGGGGGAGTTTTCTTTCAAACTCACACATATGGAAATAGAAGTCTGCGTATGTAGCGTCGTGCTGGGAGCAGCCTGGGTGATCCATCAGCGGAGCAGTTGATCAGTTTAGATGGCAGGGGGGAAGAGGAATCTAATTTGAGCAGCTGTAAGTGTATTTAGCGTGATGGACGTTGGTTTCTGTATCCCTCTGGTTGAAAGGAAACGCTAAACGTATCAAATGTCAATAATCATCAAATTAACCCCCCTGCACGCCTCCCTTTAGGAGGACCTCCGAATCTCAATTATTTCACATAGAATGTGAAATAAGGCTCCCTCACCTTCACCTTAAGAGCTTAATATAAAAACCTTGGTCATGTTTAGTGTGAAAAATGTGCTTAAAAACTGCTAATTAATACCAGCAACCTTGATAGTCATCCTTCTGGCTCGTTCTAACACATTCTTTTGGTGTTAAAAATTATCCTATCATCAGACCCTCTCCAAACACCAAATGAGAAGCTGCAGCTTGGATTTTGGTCTATTCCAGGTGCTTGGAATAAAGCTGGAAATGGTGGCCTATCCAGGTCAATCCATCCATCACTGCGCGGTTACTCAGTCGGAGGACAGCTCCCTGACAGAGGTCTGAGTGGTTCGGGATTGAGATGGAGGAGCGGGAGAGTTATAGCTTCTACGCCTCCCCCCTCCTTTTTTTTTTTTCTTGAGAGGAACCTTGACAAGGAGGACCTGCCTCAGTATGGCGTGGAGATTTACTTAGAGGGCGATAAAGGCAGAGGCTTCTGTGAAAGTCATTCACGTTTTTTTTTTTATCTTTCATTGCAAATTTTTTTTCTTTCGTTTTACAGCGCCAACTGCATGTGTGTTTGTTGCACAGAGCATCTGCAACCGTTATAGGCATCCTTGGTTGGAAATCAACCGGAAAACACATAAAAGTTTTGATGAATTCATATTTTATCAGAGCAGCACAATAGCAGCAGTCTAAATAAAAAAAATGCTTTATTTAATCTGAGTAGATTTATTAAATAGAAAGAAAATCCATAACAAAAAAAGGAAATCCAAAGGAAAGAATTTCACTTCAGAATTCTTCAAAATAGGAAAAATGGGACAAAAGAACATAAAATTCACTTTTGGGAGATTTGAATATGTCTTTTAAAGTCAGACAACAGTGGTTTCCAAAGTTGAGGGAACTGCCATACATATGAGTAAATAATGGATTTTTAAGATTTTTCTTAGAATGCAATAATGGAAATGTTGATATCTGTTGCACTGTAAAATCTGCATTTATACTTAAAATAATAACTTTATAAGTGGCAGTTTTGTGTTTTAAATTACATTTTAGTTTATGTGGTAGTAATGTGGGGTGAAAACTTTCTTGTAAATCAAAGGTAGAGAGCTACACAGCAAATTTTGAAGAGTTAGTTCAACTCCTGTGAAATTCAAATTAATACATTTGAATAACTTCTTACTGTAGTGTGGCTCAATGTTGATGGGGCGTGGCTCAACGTTATGCATGTCCCGATCTGTAACTGCATGCCATATTTCGGTCGCCATTTAGTGGCAGTAACTGTTCAGCCCATTCACAGGCAGCAACACGGCAGTTATGGCCATTGTCTATAATGGTCCACACTTGTTCGAGTTGAAATGACACTTAAAGACATTGAAACGTTATTCAACAGAGTTTAAACTCTTATGTTACGTTCAACACCCTTTAGGGTTGAATTCATTTAACACTAGTGTATACCAGGAGTGGACAATTCCAGTACCTGAGGGCTGGAATTGTCCAGTTCAAGGTGAACTTTTAGATTCACCGTAGGTAACTTAGCCATTTGAATCAGGTGTGTTGGACCTAGGGTACATCTAAAAGTTGCAGGATACTGGCCATCAGGAACTGGAATAGCCGACCCCTGGTGTATATTGTCAGAAGTTAACACCATTATTCAAATAATATTTTAATGGGCAAAATGTGTTCTCTGCTTATCTGATTGCTTCCAACAATGTCGGGAAAAAATTCACTCCAAAGACACCGCTCACATTTTTGTAAAAAAGATTCTGTTAGAAATTTTAAAAGGTATAAAATCAGAAGAGAAGCTGAAAAACAACAATCATGGAATCAATCCTGAACTGAGAACATCCAGTTAAAAAATATATCCATATATAGATTCAAATCTATATATGGATTTAAAAAATCCTCCATTTCCTGAAAACAAACTCCTTATAAAAGATTAAAAGTTCAGTAGCCATAAATGCCACAATGTATTCCCTCACCTGTGTGTGTCCTCTGGTGGGCTTTAAGGTGGGAACTCTTGGTGTACACCTTTCTGCAGCCATTAAACTGGCAGCGGTGGATCCTCTTCTTGTTGTCCGGTAGTTCCCCGGCGCTAATCAGGCACGCTGCCCCTTCCTCTTCATCCTTCACCTGGACTGGAAGCGTGTGCCCGGCCACTAGCCGAGCTGCACTGAGACCCACCTTCCTGGCCACTAGCTTCAGGGTAAGTGTCCCATCTGCGGAGGCTGTAAGCGTCTGGCTGGGTTTGTTAAGGTGTCGGCCCAACTCCGGAGAAGACGGGGGAGTTAGAGAGGTGACGGCGCTCAGCTGAGCCTGGTGGACCCCTTCTGTTCCTTCCGAATTTTCTGGACCCTGCCCTTTAGGCTTGAGGTCTTTTGTCACAGCTAAGTTCAGTCTCATTGGACACATGGTCACCGAGGGAGGGCTCGGAGGTTCAGGGAGACTAGGGAGCAAGGCCTCGGAGAGGTCTTCTTCGCCGTCCTCTTTCAAGTAGGCGGGCGTGAGGAGGCCGTCGAGGTCCTGATCAAAGAGCTCTGATAGACGTTTGGGCTCAGTCTGCAGATAACGCTCCAACTCTAGGCAGGTCTGCAGCAAAGAGACATAAAAACAAAATTGCTTTCAGATCAGGTAAGTTTCCCTCACATCCCACTTAGCCATTTCATCAGACATCTGATCATCCATTATGGTTCAACATTAAAAAGAAACTGAGCCGGCATGCTCTGCACAGCTGTCACACGCACTATGACAGCCATGATTACCTGAATATTCCAGCAAAATGGCTGATTAAACCCTGATTGATTGCAAATGCTGCAGAGAAGAGTTGTTAGCGGAGGAAGTACTCCCAAACTGTGCAAAACTCCCACTGAGCAACATTTTCCAGAGCTCTGTCAAGCCAGCTTCCCCAGGGTAAAGATAGGGAGATTTATTCAGCTGTAGTTACGGTCTGCTTCATCCCTATTACTCCAAACACCTCTCTCTATGGAGAGCAAATAAAAGACCTTCATCCTCTATTCCTGGGAACTGGCATCCTGAGAAGTCTATTACTTCACAACAAGCTGGTAAGAGCCTAAGCAGCGAAGGCCTGGCGCGGGAAAAGAGACGCTCCGTGTCCAAGGATGAAGCTATTATGTTTGAACGGAAACTGCGGCGGTTTGATCCCAGGGATGGTTGTGTTTCGCTTGTACCCACTAACCCATTCTGACAGCTGAGATGGAGGCTAGCAGTTCCGCTGGGTGCGTGCAACTTTCCTTTTGGTTTGTGTGTAAATAGGCACTGACAGACAAGAGTAGCTGGTCCCATTATCAGGAATAAGACTGCACAGACTGAACACATCAGAGACGCTTAGGATCCCACTCCCGAACTCGTCTCTTTCCTTGTTTGCGCCTTCTAAAAATAGGAGGGGTGTCTGTTGCTAAGGGAGCCACATTTCCTCCTCGAAGCTATTTCTTTCCAGGAACAAAACAGGCCTTCAAATTAAAAACCTGTTTAGTACATCAGAACACACTCTACTCTCACTTCTTTTCTCCACAGAATTGTTTTTGTAGGTTCAAGATAATGAAATGGCAATAAAAAAAAATGGACTATTGCTCCTTTATGTGTGCATTAGAGCTAAAATAGGTACTGATGGTGTGGAAACATGACAAGGAGTAAAATATATAGACTTAGCTTCATAGAGGTAAAGTAAAAACAAATCTGCCTCATTAACTTACATATCTTCCAACCCTTCACATCACTTCTTTACCCTTCAACTTGGATCAAATTCCTGAATCCCACAGTTTCCTTTGTCCTTCTCTACAGCAGGTGTCGACTAATTATCTTCTAAAAACCGGCAAGTCAAAGAGGAATTTCTTCAGCAAATGGCTGAAGACTGCAAACCAACCCTGTGAGTGCTTGAGGTAGTTTAAGGGAAGCAGAAAACAGGACAGGAGATAAGTGAGAGACGTGTGAAGGGAAAAGGTGTGATGGAAGGGACAAGGTAAGGTTGGCATAGAGAAGGAAGGTCTCAACTTCATTTTCACAGTGGGGGGGCAAATCCGTTTTGGAACCGTGACATTTGGCGTAACAGGATCCTGTCAGCGGGCGAACCGCGGGGCCTCGTGCTCGCGGATGCTAAATGTTAGGTTGCGAACCCATGGCGATGGGTTAGGATGTCATGTGTGACACAGCATGCATACATTCAGGCAGGCACTGTACTTATAACCCAGTGTGCATGCGGAATAAGAGACACTGACATGGTAAGGATAAAAGAGATTTTAGGTGAGTAGGTGGCAGGTATGACAGGCTTATCATGCACCCTTTTCTTCCCTCTGTCTTTTCTGTCTTTCTTTCCATCACTCCATCAACCCCCTTCCCCCTCACTTCTCCCCCAGGTGGTGCCATTAATATTGTTGGAGAGAAGGTCATGCAGTTGATCAGCAGTTCCTGTTTGCCTGGTGGGCAGTGATGAGGGTACGTTATACTCTATATGGCTGCAATTATGGAAGTTTAACAGTGTATGCTTATAATCTGGCAACTCAATGTGTGAGTAATTACCACACTCCATGTGCAATTATGCAGCTCTTGTCTGCATGTTCGTGGGAACACCTACGCACATGCATAAACATGTCTTCTTGCCGGTCTCATGGCGTCAAGTGGGCATCTTGCATCTATGTGTGTAGGCAAATAATCAAGTGCCAAAAGCGTGGCACAATAGCGAAGATAAAGGAATGTGGATGGATTATGTCCATTTTGGACAAGCGCCGATCAGGAGAGCCAACAGTTGTTGGCTCTGCACAAAGCCAGGGTTCATTTCCTAAAGGGCTTTCAGGATAAGTCCTTTATAGCAGCCAAGATAAGCTGAGAAAAATCCAGTGGCTGATCCAACGCAGCCGTCTCCTGCAGCAAAGGGAAGGGGATCTCCATTGTATGGTAGGGTTGATGAATAATCTAACTCAGGAAATTGACAAGCATGTCAAAACCTCTGGCTTTAGCTCTCAAGTGGATAGTATTGGGTGAGTTTACTCTTTAAATGTTGAATAATAAATTCAGTAGTAGATGATGATCTACTGAAAAAAACGCGCAAAAACACATTGGTAATCTATCAATAATTCAAACCTTCTTTGTGGACCTGCATAGATTTTTTAAAGTTCTGTTAAATGAACTTTTCAAACATAAAGAATGTTGTTCTGACTTTATTGTTGACACAATGCCACCAGGCAGGTTCAATTCATTAATACCAATGGATGATATGGGACAAAAATGACAGAAGTTCTAAATGTTTCAGAATTCAAAGGAAAATAAAGAAATTGGAATTGGTAAAGGAGCATGTAAAGACACAGACCACAAGATTGAAGGAGTAGCAGACATTGCAGACAAGGGAGGTAGGGAATGATAAAAGAAAAAAGACAGACAAGAAAGAAAGAAAAAAAGACATAATTAAGGAATGGCAGAAGTAAGAAAAAAGCAGGAAAGGCCAACAATGAAAAGGCACAAAGATGAAAGACAGGTAAGATAAATGGAAGGAAAGAGATATAAAGAACAAAATATAATGTCACAAGGAGTGAATGGTAGTCAAAAGGAAAGATGGCAATAAAAAAGACACAAGAAACGAAAAACTTAAGGAAAGACAACAAAAGAAAGAAAAACAATTAGCTAAATGGAGCGATGACATCATTTTTAGCAATAATCTCAGCAGAAAACCTGATCTACTTCCTTCAACCCATTCTGTTTTAGTTGCTTCCCTTCTTCCACTCACTTTGCCATCTTATTCTTTCCTCATTCTGGCAGCTGATTCTCTCCCCCCCATCTCCTCCCTTCACATTTGGCCCACTCCGAACCGCCTGCCATCACCATCAAAGCTCCCGCTGCCTCCCAACTGTTAGCACCCCACCATGTCGCTAATAAAAAGCCTGAGTTATAAATATGAACAGAGGAGCATGCATATGCCCTAAAGGAGGGCCCAAAACACCACTAAACAGATAAATGTAATGGGGAGGATACGGCTCATTAATTTTAGGACGATCGTGTTTGGTTTTTACAGATGCCATGATGGAGACAAGGTGCTATGAATAATATTTGACGCTCATAGTAGAAAGGGTTGAAAAGGGCAAGACTTTTAAGAGGCCCCTGAGCAGGAGGGGGTGATGCAGCACTATTGTTAAATGTGGAGGCTGGGGGGGTGGGATGCTGTCGCATCTTTTAAGAGATGACTTATGATTCCCTACAGTGCCTTCTTTGTTAAGTTGCATAATTTCGGATTAAATACAGTAGGTTTCTATTTGCCTGCTCAGATGAATGGTTTATGGAAAATAGAAAATTTTTCTCTATATGTCACATCCTGAATTTTCTCAAAGCCAAATCTGCTTTTACATCGAATGCTCCAAAATTATGCATGAAAACTAAATGTTCTAAAAACTGCATAAATGCTGGTCATTTTAGGAAGACTATGAACTACTACTTTCTCAAACTGCTTTCTTTAACAGTTTATAGCAGGTTGTTGGTAACAGATTGATTCATGTCCATGCTCAATGCGATATGTACTCAATTTATCTAAATTCCTGTTTTTATGGAGGGTCTGGTCCGATATTTCTTGCAGCATTTCATTTGCCCTATTTGCATGATACATACATTTTCTAATTTCCTCCTATGCTGTGGGTGTACACCTCAGTCAACAGAGTAACAGTATAAAGATTTCTGCTTTCGCGTTGTTGCTAAACTTGACAAAAAAACAGAGTAAAGAAATGAGGTTTATCTCATGTTACTTTTTAGGGGGGGAAAGAGTTTCTGGAGGGGACCTGAAAAGTCCCCAAGTATAAGTTGACAACATTGGACTAGATTTTCTTCATTACTGAGAGCAGAGCAGAGCACTGCAGCCACAGTTCGCTTCATACAGTAGCCAGTTTCACAGCACGGTGGATAGTAGCCAGCTGTCTTTGTTTTCCTAAATATATTTGCTAATGGTGTTAGTTTTAGCTAATATTGTAAACAGTAGACCACAAGTTGATCACATTTGTTTGTTTCAATAGTAACAGCTAAGAAAAAAGTGTTGAAGATGTGATATTGATTCGATTTTGCAGCAGGACAAGTTGTTCTAAGTTACTATGAATCAAGCAGTTTCCTGAATCAGGAGTTTACTTTAATAACTACCTTAACATTATATAATGGAAGGAAACATTGATGGGTGGTCGGGAACATCTGGAATTTTGTTTTGTGGTTGAACCATCAGCCAGTTTGAGCTCATGAGAGGCCAGTGATGGTGAGAAATATGGAGGCATTACACCTTAAAGGTCAGAAGCATCCAGACCTCTAGCCAACAGCATCAAACTCTGAGCCATAGAGTTTCAACTAATATGACCACAGCAGCAAACACATAGCGGGGAAGCACAGGTTGCTGCAAGTCTGGTACAGATGGTATAACCAATTATTAGCTAATAAATATAAATTAGTTTAATGAACATGATTTGCAAATCAATCATCCACTGCTGTTACAAGAAATGACTTATTATATTCTTAAAGGAATAGCTGACAACTCCACCCGTCTGTATCAGATCTGCCTATTTCCAGCCCAAAACCAATGTAAAACCCCACCATCTCAATAAATAACACAG